TCATTGTAGTTCCTTTAGACCTGAAGTGAAAATATGCATGCAGGTGCTTTCTGTTTTATCTCTGTTTTATTATCCACATTATTGACAGATAATATTGCAGAATATATTAGAAAGTACTGTTGATAGTTGTGAGATCTTAATTTTGGCAAGCTCTTATTTACTTTTATACTCTGTTTTTCAAGCCTCTGAACTATATGTATGTGTCAGTATGGCTTGATCTTTCTTAGGGGACTAAATAAAATAATAATGATCTGAATCCCATATTTTTAAAATGACAAATTACATGTACGCAAACTTACAAGTTTAGAATGCTATAGATGAGACTGTGGAGATGATCTAAACTCATCTGTACATTTATAGATGAGGAAATACTCAATATTCATTTTTTCTCAAGTTAATATCAATAGCAGCTCTTTACATCTGGGCCCAAAACAGTACTAAGCACTTTACTGTAAAAGAATTCATTCTCTGATGTATTGTTCTTCCAGTTTTGGTTTCTAAGAGATATTTAATAAATAATCACTTAAACTTCATGTGTCTGAACTTATTTTATATATTGATGAAGAATTTTTTACCTCTAGTTCAGTCATCATAATAATTACCTTGACATATTATCCCACCCTCCAAATGGGCTGGTTCTAGAGCAGAGTAGACAGGAACACAGACTGCAGAGAGGGCAGCCTGAGGGCATCCTGATCAGCTTCTGAATCAGTGAGTTTAGCTAGCCTTGTAAACTTGGACAAGATCCCTCACTGTGAGAAGGGATGCCTCTCCTGGAGTGATTGTGAAGTACTCTATGTGAACACATTTACCCCGGTGCCTAGTTTACTAGGTACTCAGTAAATGTTAGCTCTTATTGATCTGCACTTGTTATTAGATTGGTATTTATTTTGTTACCTGAATATTAATCATGGGAATTTTATTTCACATCTGCTAAAAACAGGAAATATTAGGTTTTAGTGGATCTGGGGAAGGGGTGTAGAGAGAGGCAACTGCTTCTGTTGGTTTAGAAGAGAGAAGCAGTGAAAGAAATACAGGATGTGAATGGAAAGTTATTAAGATAAATTTTACTTTAGATCCAGAATACTCAAGAAATATTGTGTCATCTTTGAGTAAGAAATTCTCTGCTTTGTTAATTACTATTTGACATTCCATGAATGTAACCACTATTCTTAATGACATCTTGAAATGTTAATGGTTTGTGCTCCTTTATTTCTACCTCTTCATTTATTCCTTGACATACTGTGATCTGATTTCTGCCCTGACTCTACTGAAATCTTATTCCTAAAGACTCTAGTTAAATCAAACAAATAGTGCTCTTGGACTTGACCTTTCTCTAAAATCACTTCTATCGTTTGGATCTTTTGATTCTCAAATATTTCTTTGTACTTCCCAATCTTTTTTTCCCTTAACCTATTGCTTAAAGTTCATATTTCCCTGGGTTCTCCTCTCATTCTTAATTCTAAGAAAGTTCAGTTTGTACCCATGGATTAAATCACTTATAATGAAATTTTTCTGCTTTCTTCAGATAACAAACTGAACCTGACTCCCTTTTGCTTTACCCACATCATGGGTCTTTGTAAATTAGAGAGTTATCTGCTAACTCTAATTGGTGAGTTCCTGTGTCTCACCAAATCTAATTTTTCCTTTTCATTTTTACAGCTGCTCATTTGGCCTAGGCCCTCATTCATTCTTGCCTGGATTACTCCTGATTCTAACCTTACTGTCGCCTTTTAGCCTATCTGCAATATGCTGTCAGATTCATCCAAAGACACAAAATTTTCTGTTCATCATGTTCTGTTGCCTTCAGGATAGATTTTAATTTCTTTGTGTGGTATAAGTGGCCCATAATTATTTGGCCTTGAACATTCCATGCTTGTATCAGGCCCTTTCTGCTATGTGTAAGCCACTGTAGTGGTAGCAATCACCTTGTATTCTTCATGCATCCCAGCTTTTCCTCATCTGTGTGCCATTTATATGGATTTCTGTTGGTCCTACTTAATTCATCTGAAGCATTTCTTCATGACTTCTAACTCATGTTTCTGTGGTATCCTGGGTTGTATCTGTCACAACAGTTTTTATACTTAATTGTAGTTCAGTCTTCACTTGTCTGCCCTGTAATACCATAGGTTCTTTGAGGAAAGGAGCTGTGCTTATCATTGCTCAAATCTGTGATAGTACCCTGTATAAAAGAATCTTTATATTAATATGTACAGTTAAAAATAGAATCTTTAGATCTATATGTTTTCATTAATTTGATAACTTAATGTTCACACTGAATTTGTGACCAGTATATTAAAGTCTACTTCTAAATAAAAGTCTGCTTCTGAAGATTGAACCTGATGTACAAGATACCTGAATATCATTGTTTACTGCTTATAATTAAAATTGAGATTTTCATTTCCTTCTTGTAGCTACAATGATCCAGCTTTTTATGAAGAATGCAAAATGGAATACCTGAAGGAAAGGGAAGAATTCAGAAAAACTGGAATTCCTACTAAGAAAAGGCTACAGAAGCTACCTACAAGCATGTAGACAGATATTAAAATGACAGGAATCTCATATTCACAAAAGTCTTTTATAATATAAATCATCTGAAATAATGGACTCGAATGTGTTTGCTTTATTCTAATTATGAAAATAATAATTTATAAGAAATAAATCATTATTTCAAAGTTGATTTATTAAATATGGGATAGGAGTAAATACTGGAATGAAATATGGTTTTCCTGATCATTCTGAATTTTTCACAAGCTTTTCCACAATTATAGTTCTATGAACAGTGCTAATGATTTCCAGAGCTCCACATGGACTTTACCTTCTTCCATCGTGTAAGGAAAAAGCTAATCATAGGGATCAAAGTATTAAATGATAGCAGAAACAACCTTTAAAGGTGTTGATAACTAAGCAGTATAGCACAATGGCTAGGAACCAGAATATTGAAGTTTCACAACCTATTGACTATTTGCAACTGTGAAAGTGAATCTCAAAAGCTATTGTGAGAATTTGTTGAATATAGCAAGTGTATATCTTGTATGGGACAGTGCTCCAGATGTGGTAAACACTTTCTAATTGGTAGTGTTAGTACTACGTAATAAGGCTTATCTGAAAGCATAGATAAGTATATATATGTATTTTACTTACATTCTTTGATGGATTTTTTTTCCTGAAATTGTTTTTTGATCAAGTTAATTATGTTAACTTGATTATTGAAAATACTTTTTCTTTTTAAAAACTCATCCTTAGGATGAATAAACACCTTATAAAATAGTGGACTCAGAAAGTAGTGTAATAAATTTCTGTCCCAATGCCATAATTTGGGCCCAGGCTGATATTATATTAAAAAGTCATCCCCCCCACCCACAACCCCAGGAGCTATTAGCTGTGCACCACAGCCACTATAACCAGTTTACAGATAAGTAAATTTTCTGTTTCCACATAGTCCTCATTAAAATTAAAACCAGAAACTTAATTACAAAACAAGATTTAACTTTGGTCCCAATCCCATGAAATAGCTGACTTAGGGGAAAAAAAGGACTTAATAATTTAAATGCAATACAATCAATGGATGTTCAAGTTCCCACTTTACTCATACTCTTGAGTTAACCACTCAAAGAATGATTTTACTCTTATTTGAAATACAAAGGAACTACATTTTTCCCAGGCCACAGATCAAAAGGAGGGAGATTAGAGAACAAAAATAAAGCAAATATCGAAATCTGGAGTCCACACAGAATAGGGGCTAATAAGCCTATATTCCCCTGTTCACCTTCTGATACTGGTACATTTCCTAAAGCACAGGACTGTCATTTTTCTTTTTTTTAAATGACTCAAATGGAGAAAAGGCAAAACAGTTACAGAGGCTGATAGAAATATACAGTCTGTGACTATTTTAATGAAAATTAAAGTAGCCAACTTCAAATTTTTGTTTTTGTTGGTGTTGGGGATCAAATCCAGGGCGTTGCACAAGACAACTTCAATTTTATGTGGAAAATTAGCTTATATAGATGTCACATCCTCCATAGGTACTAGACAAATTATATACAGTATACTCATCCTTCTTTCTCATAGCAAAAATGAACCATTCATTAGAGACTTTATTCATGCCTCACCACACTCAAGTCTACTTATCGGACTGAGGCAGTTGTACTTTGCTTGCTTACTGGTACCTTTGTTTATACTCCGTCTGTATGTGACAATTCATAGGATGTTACCCTTTAAAATTTACCTTTTCCAAGTAGCTTTTCTGGATAAAGATCATAACTTTCCTCCACATGATTCAATGAATTTACTATTTATTTTCTAATATTTCACATAGGTATGTCACTACTCTACATGTGAATTCAGTTCCATTTTGGCAGATAGATAGTCAATAAAAGAATCTTCCTTTCAGAGAAATAAATTCTACCTCAAGCTAATAAGAGGAAGGAAATGTAGCTTTTAAAAAATTATTTGTGTTCTCTTTATATTGTTGGGTTATAGATGTGTTGAACTCGGTTCTTACAAAAAGAAAACTAAAATTTTTGGAGTGTTTAGTTAGTATAAGAGATCGACATAAAAGTTTCCATTTTAAAAAGATCGTAAGCCACAGATGGGCCAATTTTATCATTTCTTTTTGAATCTTAATGAGAACAGATGATAAAATTTTCTGTGGGTAAAGTATTTTTGATTAATTCTTCTTACTAAAGTCTTATGCACATATAACATTTAAACTATTAAGAATATCAGTGATTTAACACTTAAACTATTAAGAACATCACTGATATTCTTAATAGTTTAAATGTTATATGTGCATAAGACTTTAGTAAGAAGTAATTCAATGACTGTTCTTAATAGTTTAAGTGCTAAATGTGCATTAGACTTTAGTAAGAATAGCATACCTGTTTGATTGCTATCATCACTGTCTTTTGGAGGGAATTTTCTCCACTCAAAGTCAATTTAACAAGACAAATGTCTGTTATACGAATCAAATTAACAACAATCAGTACCAGACCTTGTAGTATATAAGCAAGGATATTATTTCACATCCACTTCCATTTCAAACAAAAATAATTTTAATTAAACAATTTTTTGGCATTGTTCAAAACATTAATCAAGCCATTATCTTGTAAGACTGACTGACTTTACGAAAGGAAATTTCCAATCATGGTTTTAAAAAAGGCAAACCAGTAAGCCACATTAGAGATTAGAGATAATATACAGCCTATGCAGCCACATGAGAAATAGTTTATGCTGCTTTGTTATTACACAGGTAGTTGCTTCCTTCAGCTAAAGCCTGGAATCTTATATTTGTTTTATGCATATTGGGTTTTGTTCTATTACTTGGCAGAAGACTGTACTCCCTTGAGTCAGCTGTGTTCGCTGGTCAGAATAAATTCCAGCATCTGACTTCAATTCCATTAATCACAGACAAGCTTGAATAAGTGAGTAAGATAATAGAGAAAAAGAATGGTGAACATTGTCTGTGTATGCTATTCAATAATATGGAAAAGATCTGTGATACTCTTTTGAATTTAAGATATATGAACTGTCTATCAAAAAGGATAAAGTCCTTCCTACATGAAACACTGTATCCTAGGCAAAAGGTGTATGAACCAAGTAAAATATTATTACTATTATTAATATTTCTATCCTGAAAGAATTCAGGTCAATTTTCCTGTGAAGCCACCTTTGTTATTTCCTCACTTATTTACAAATGACCTGTTAGAATGAGTTTGGGGATATTTCATGATTGTACTATATCAATGCAGCACAAAATTTAGTTCTAAGTGAAATTTTGTAATTCAAAAATAACTTTCTCAAGTACTACATTTCAAAACAAAGTCAATTTATAAACTGCTTTATACAACAAGCAGCAATATTCCCTTTGAAGAAAATGACTATACAGTTATACACATTTAAATTTTCATTATGGACCACCAGAGGGACAGATTAGACTCAAAACTTTTAAGATGCTCTTTCTACTTCTAATTGAATGGTGTATAAGGTTATAATAGTTTATTCACATACCACACAGTTTGTAACTATTTCTTCTTTTTATCCATTTAGGACTTGAATGTACTGGGACAAAGCTGGCTTCAATGGTCATTTCAAGTCTTAGAATTCAAATTGCAATTCTAAAGTATAATTATTTAAATCTTAATGTCTAAAACACAATACCATAGAGATATAATGACCCAGTCATTTTTATTCCATTATGATATTTCTTATCTGTATGCATCATAAAGTCAATAGAATATTAACTTATTTGCATTGCCACTTGCTCCTTTATGCATATCTGAACCAGTGAACATGGTTTTTTCCCTGTTTTCAAGGCTTCCTTTTATTTTTATGGATAGATGTCTAGGCCTTTCACATACTTCATAAAACCATGTCTAAAAATATCCAGTTCCCTTATCTTCGAGGCAAAATTTTACAATTTTTATCAAAGGTAGAATTGTCTTTTTGAAACACCTTAAGTTTATAAATTAGTACAGTAGCACATATCTGATTCTTAAGAATATGGAGCTGGAGGTACTCTTCATACTAGAAAATCAACTACATAATATCGTACAGTGTGTTTGAATGTATATACTGAAGAACTCTGCAAAATTTTAATCAAAGCCCACTTTCAGTTTGTTAAATAACTTCCTTGGAGAACCATTGAGAGAGAGAGTGTCCTCATGATCAAATCATGAATCTCTTCAGAATTAATTCTTATAAAGGCAGTTTTGATTATGATGATCCAAGTAATGCAATGGTGGTAGGTTGGGTAAAGGCAAAGTTTTACTTTTAGTTTCCCCAAATGCTGTCTCACTTGATTTAGGAGGGCTTGGGAATACCCAAGAATTATCTTCCAGAGAATTTCTGCTGTAAGAGTTGTGTTCCTGAAAGTCTGTACCATCAGTGGGAATGGATCTCTCATTATCTGTCCATGATTGGAGAAGTGCTTTCTCTGATAAAACCTTTATATCTCCTGGTAAAGGAGAAGATGTAGTATGACAGAGAGCTTTGCCATTTGGTGACAGAGGGGGATGTCTTTTGTATGTTGCAGTGAAATTTGTCAAGTGCAGTTTTGTTCCTTCTTTCCCAAGGTCTTCCATGTATCCTATTGGTGTGCAGGCTAAAAAGAAAGCACAGGCTAAATAAATGTCCATTTTCATGGCATTTGTGATCATAAAATATAATATTTCATTAGTCGATAAATCCTAGAAATGATAATGAAATTCACATTTTCAAAATACAAATAAAGATCCTGTTCTAGGCCATTAATGTGACTAGTTGAAGGCTTGTATATCATTGTGTGCAAGTGGGGACTAAGAAAGCTGTTCTTAAGTTTTAGTTAAATATAATATTCCTTTGCTTATTCAAGGTTTTTCTTCATGGATATTCCAATAGTGATTTTTTTTTCAGAAATAATTCTATTTTTAATTGTCAGGAGCCAAATGAAGTTTTAATATACATTTAAAGGCTTTTTATAGATAAAGCAGTTAAAATAAAAGTTGCAAATTAATTCTATTTCTTATTAATAAACCTATAAGAGCAACTGTGAATTCTGCTGTGGTCACAATACAGGTCAAATCTTTTTTAAAAAAAAAAAAAGGAAAAAAAATGTTTCATATACATGCAATAATGACTTAAGAAAAAGACCCTATTTGGCCACAGCCAGCAATTGGTAATATGGGCTTCCTCTCTATTTCTAACTCATCAGGGTTAAAAGATAAATGTATACTTAGCCCAAAGATGGCCAATTGTAACTAAGGATTTACTCTGCGTAGTTTAGGACAAACAGAACCACATTATAAAATAAGCTCATTGTCTTTTTTCTTAGGAAGATGAATGGGGGTGTGGGGGATAAACAGAATTAACAGTGTTCAGCTTCTGGACAGAGATACTATATAGGTCAGAAAAAGGGGGGTGACAAACCTCAGTGATCTATAGTCTTATTTCTGCCTACTCCTCAAAAACAATGAGCTCTGTGGTAAGGAGTGGTGACTTTATGCCTGCCACTGTATAAGGAAATATGCTGGTGAATTTATAGTCCCAAAAGATATATCATCAACCAGCTAAGAAGGAACAACAGATAAACCTCTTCTAAGCTCTGCTCCTTTATTATTCTTCGGAGTTAATATTTACTATGTGAACAAAGAACCACACTAAAAACTCACTGCAAAATTATTGTGTCCCTTTAAAGAAAGGTATTATTTCTACCCTCTACTTGTAGTTTTTCATAGATCACAGAACACCATATTATTTTCTCTTCATTCTTAAGTAACCAGCTCTCCTGAACTAAAAAGGAATTCTGAATTCAATTTTTCTTCCCAAAATGTAACATTTTCCTTCACTAAGAAATACTCCTGAGGAAAACTTATTTATAAAATACAGTTCTCTCAAGACAATGAAAATGCAAATAGCAATTTTAAATTAGGTGTTGATTACTTTTTTTTAAAGTCTCATCTCATTCCTTTAAAAAGTAATATTCAAATTTATAGAACACTACTTTTTTGAAATAATATTATTATGTAATACTAGGCACAAATGCACTGATTTTTCTCCATGGAATGAAGAATAGTTTTGGCAAACTACCTAACATAAAACTCAAAAAAGTTTAATTGGTCAAACAGTTAAATATGAAAGGCAAAGCAATGAAAATTTTTGGTTGTAGGGGATGCGGTGAAGCACTTAGCCTCCCATCTAATAAGCTATTCTTATAAGAAAGAAAAATTAAGTTTATATAAAATGCAAATAAATAATGAATCAGTTATTGTTTTGAAAACAAGCAACATGAAAAGCCAGGACTCTGGTACATTCTGTAGCACTGGAATGAAAAATTGCTTTTGGGCTTTTTAAAAAAATATATATGAAGTAGTTGCGGTAAAAGGTCAACTAGAGCAAACTTAACACCTCAGCCTTATACACATAAGCAACACTTGGCTGAGAAAAGCCACAAGGGGAAAAGAATACAGTACTGAAGAAAAAACACATCAGCAACACCTTTATGTGTGAAGTTGACCAGTATGAGACTGAAGCCAAAGCAGAGAATGGGTAGCTGTGAACACACTAAATATACTATGACTTATCAAACTCATTTGATGAGATTTTGATAAGATACGATGGCTAGCTGTTCTTCATGCAGTTTAGCTGGAATGAGTAGTTTCCGGTAAATAGTAACTTGCCTTTCTTGATTGCAGTTGGGGTTTTCAGTTTTCGTAGTAGTTCAGCTTGTACTTGAGTCACCAGATGTAAATTGGACATTTCTCTCTTTAGTTCCCAGTATGCATGTTGCATATTATCACTGAAATAATTTTTTTAAAGAAGTTAGTATTCATTCTTTTCATGAACAAGAAGGAATAACTTTAAAACAGAAGCAAGCAGATCTATATTTCTGCTCCTGTCAGTTCTATGATGATGTAAATTAAACAACTGAAAGATAATTAGGACATTGTATATGAAAAGATGTAAGAAAAACATCATCCTCTTAATTTCTAGCAATTAATTGTATGCATTAACAGAATGTTTAAAAAAAGAAGTATTCTAACCGCCACGTTTTCTTACCGGTTTCAGAACTGATATTTTATTACAGTCTATAATGTGCACTGGTGTTAATATAATTTATAAGTAATAAGGAATATGCTTATTTGTAAATCTGATCAAGAATAAAGTTATAATCATATATACATGTATTTATCTTTTAATTATTTTGACATTGTAAATTGAAATGATATATCAATTGCTAAATATATACCCAAGTTCACATTAAAATAAAATTTAGGTTTCACACATTACATTCTTTATGTTTGACTGAGTTGTCTCATACTGTTGGTTCTAAACCAATGTGACATGACAGCATAAGACATGAAGAGCCAGATGATTTCCTCATAAGGAAGAAGAATCTACAAAAGGAGGATTATATGAAACAAATAAAAATTTCAAAATTTTTATCATTAAAAGTATTTTATCTCAATTATCTGAGGAAATATAAATTATATAAATCTAATTTTTAAAGGTTTTATTTTCCATTAAATATTCTAACTTTATAGTCATAACTTTCTTTAGATTTTTAATTGTAAACTAAATAGACTGAAATCTTTAGCACATATTCTCACTTCATTGTACAAGAACACACAAATATTAAGTATAAAAATAGCTGATCTCATAGCATCTCAACAACCATATTGCATCTGAGAGATACAGTACAATTTTAGTAATAAGGAAATCAAGCTAAGCAAACATGTCACCTCTTGCTTCAATTTTTGCCTGGCCATATACAAAACTTAAACTTCAAGGCAATAACCCTCTTAAAATCTAAATTTAATATCCTAGTTAGAGAATCAACAAATATATCAATTATTTTGAATTTGTGTAAGGTTAAATACCTTCTCTATTAAAATATTCTCATTCTACTTACACTATAATAAACTTTGTACTGCTTTGCAGAAAAATATGTTATGAACGTCACTGGATAACCTTTCGTGCACTGAAAAAAGATGACTTTTTGCAGATTTTTGAAGGGCATGAAATATTTACTTTACAAAAATTAGTTAACCACTTCTTAACCAGTAAATGTCTGAGATGTTTGCTACAATTAATGTTTTACACAGGAGACAATGTGAAGAGAACTGTTGATTCCTTAGTTCAATTCTGGGCATTTGGTATGTTTTCACATTATAAAGCACTTGGTATAATCACTGCACATGTGCTAATTCATGCACACAGTCAGGACATCAATAAAACAGTTTAAGAACAGTTTACTATTGATATGATATGGAGAAAACACCCATGATAATGTTAGGGTATTGAATTTACCAAGCACATCTAATAATTCAAAACAGCTAGGCATAGAAACAAATAAAAGGGTGATAACAAAAGAGCATCTAGTATATATTTTTAAACTCAATTTAATTAAGACTGCTTAAAAATTAGATTAAGTTGAATACTGGGTCACCATGATTAACACATGTCATCATTTTGTCTTTTGCCCTTCAAGTCACCTGAACTGAAACCTATAGTTACAAAAAATTTAAGACCATTACTAAATATAAGCTCTCCCTCTTGTGGCTAACAAAGTAATCGCAGTTAGTGCTACCTACTGTTAATATTAAAGTGCTATAGTCTTCAAACTGTTTAAAATTTTATTTTTAATTCTATTAACTTGAACAAAGTGTTTAAACGATTAATTGATTAGAAAAGCCAAGTTGTTATCTCTCAAATTTTTAGCAGGGTTCCAACTAACGCTGGTGAATTATTAGGTATTTTATCTAGGTAATCGTGAGACTATTCTTAGTAGATTGCATGTCACATCATTCTAGTTTTGCTTTGAATGACATACAAGCAAAATCCTATTAATATTTACAGTTGTCTATGAAGATCTTGGGTAACTGCTTGAATACTTGTATGTGACAAAAAAGCAACCCAAATGAGACTCTAAAAAATAGTAGATTGAGCTGGGTGTGGACACACACACCTATAATCCCAGCTACATGGGAGATTGTAGCAGGAGGATTCTAAATTCAAAGTCATTAGGCCAGGCAACTGTAAGACCCTGTTTCAAAATAAAAACTTCTAAAAAAGGCTGAGAATGTAGCTAAATTACTACAGTGTTTGCCCAGCATGTGCAAGGCCCTGGGTGCCATCACCAAACAAAAATAAGATAAGAGCATTTATTATATATACCTTATATAATTATATAATATGTATAATTATATTATATTATATATACATACCAACTTGGCAAACTGGGTAAACTTAATTGTGTACATGAGGAGACAGATTCAATAGTATATTTAAGTAAAACTATGTTGTTTTTCAAAACTCTTTTTACCTGTCCAGTCTAATGACTGATCACTGCATTTTGGGGGTAGCATTTCTCATATCCTCATCATCCACTCGCCAAGCACCTATAATAAGTTAACTGCCAATACAGTCTTCTCAGCCCAGAATGATACTTCATACCTCTGACTTTTAAATGTTATGAAACTTGCTTGTCTGCATCTCAAGAACTGGTTACAGTCCTGATTGTAAAATAAAATTGTGTAAAAATCCAGTCTTCTTAACTGATACTGTATATGCATTTATTTAATATAGAAATAAATACTCCTATATAAGAAAAACCTACTTAACTAATTTTGTACTTATATCATACAAATTTTTTCTTTAGCTTTTGAAAATTTCCTTAATTTAATTTCCAAAAATTATATTTTTAACTGAAAGCTAGAGAATTAAAAACTGTGTATTTTACCAACTTTGATTCCCCCATAGTGTCTTTTAAACATTTTTGACTGCAAGGAATAGAAATCATTTTACACTCTTATATGTTCTATTGTGTTTTAGTCCATATTTTTAAAATGCTTAACACAAAATTTCATGTTCACTAAAGAAACACAGAAGAGGATGAAAAACACTAATCCATATATCCTGAACCAGCAATTTATATTTTAATATCATCTATAACATAGCTAGCTCTATAAGTTTACAGATGATGAGCAAAAGAAAGACAGTAACTCCATACAGAGATATGGTTTTAAAACCTAAATTATCAACCTAAAGCTGACACTGAAACAGGGCACCAGCTAAATTTCTGACAGGGCTTTTACTGTAAAAAAAAAAAAAAAAAAATTGTTTTTAATATAATGAGTACCATATAAAAGGCTACCAGAAATCAAAAGGGTCAATATGTCTTAAGAAAATATTATAGTGCCTTCCTCTGCCTGTCAATATATAGAGGAATTAAAAAAATAAAAAATAAAGAATTTTCTTAATAATTGAAAAAAAAAATACTAAAAAAATCTAAGCTTTTTGGAGCTGGGGATGTGGCTCAAGTGGTAGCATGCTCGCCTGGCATGCGTGGGGACTGGGTTCGATTCTCGGCACCACATAAAAATAAAATAAAGATATTGTGTCCACCTAAAACTGAAAAAAAAATTCTAAGCTTTTAGTTAATAGTTTTATTGATATATTCCTATATACTTTTTCTCTAATTAGTAAATTTAGCATCTGAATTGTTTCACTTAAAAGAGGATAAAGTAACTTATGAACATTAATAAAAACACAGGAATACATACTGGAAATAGGTATAAATGATGAAATGAATAAACAAAAGACAAAGTATATGTGGGAATGAGGCTAACATGAGAATACATGATATAACTTATGTTTACCAAAGTTAGGCCAAAACTTTGGTTAGGTTCTTTAGTTGCTAATCAGAAGGGAGAAACCTAACCAGTTTTGTATTTCATAGTGCCTACTAAGTTAAATGCAAACTAATTTGAAGAAAAAACACACACATAAAAGTGTATTTGAGTACTAAGGGGAGAGCCATGACCATTTATTCTAATTGCACATTTATTTAACATATCATACTCTTGGTATTGTTTTAACACAAAGCAACTTTTAGAATAAATGTAAGGCAATTCTTTCTAAAAACTGTTTCTCTCAGCTGATCCTCTGAATTGATACTGGGCTTTAGAGAGCTGAAGGCTATTCTTTGATGCCATAATTATAGCTATCTCCATAGCCTCAAAAACTACTCACTTTCTTGGACCTTCAAACTCCTGCAAATCCTGTCATAGAGATTCTTCACTATCTTGATAGTTATCTGAAGTCTTCAAAGAAATATTTTTTGGAAGTAGTCAGCTTTTTAAGTTATTCTCAGTGGATATGATCCAAATTATGTAATCCCCAAATGGAAGCAGAAATCCTCTTCTATACTATGTATACCTAATATATTGTTTTTATATAGCCCTATTTATTTAAGCTACTATTAACCAATGTATTTATTGGTTCCCTGATTCTTTTCAGAAATGATTTGAAGTGGCTTTATAAAAATGATAAATACAACACAATTATAAGGGGAAACACAAGTTGATCAGAGAAAAGGTAACTCTGACAGAGAAGATAACTTCTAAGGAAAAGTTTACATGGACACTGTACTAGATACATTATTTAAAAGGAAAAAAAAAAAAAAGGAAAACTTCCTTACTGAAAAAATACATAAAATTTGAAGACAGAATCGAAATGCTGTTCAGATAGCAGAAGTGAATAGTTCCAGCAAAATGACTACATGGCCAGTCCACAAAAACGAAATATTTATTGCTGTCACTTTACAGAAGTGCCTTCTCCTGATTTCCTGTTTTCCTTAGTTGATCATTTCTCTCAAGCAAATTTTTAACAGTCATAGGTCTGAGACAATTCATATTTTATTTAAATCACTAACTCTGAAATCCAAATAACTGAACACTGAAGTCAAATCAGTATTTTTCATTAGATGGAAGATACCCATGTAGAGAGGCCTTCCTAATATAATAGGAACAAAAATTATTAATTTAAAACAAAGAAAAACTATTAATTTAAAAATGGTAAGTATTTGAGGGAAAAAAAGGGCTGAAGTGCATCAACTCTGATAGTTACTTCTGTTCTAAACCTAAGGAGGAGTAACTCTCTTAAACTTTATGCTATTCCAAAGACGAACATTGTCCAAAACTGCCCTTAAGACAAAAGGATATTACTATAAATAGAAATGTGTAATTTCTCATGTTCAAAAAACAGGGTTTATTACAGAATGCTTTCACAAAGCTAGTTCCTTAAAATCGGATCCAAAATATTATTTAATGTTCAGAAGCTTTCTCTAAGATATCATAATGTACACCTTTTTACCACTTAAGTTCAAGGCTGCAGTTAAGTTACAGTTAAAATGTTTTTATAAGTATATTGTGATCAGAGGTTAAATTCAGCATCAAAATAATATCTATTTGCTGTGTTTTTAAGGTTGAATTAAAACAGAAATCCAGGTACCTACCCAAAGTGACCTACAGAAGAAAACATGTATTATTTTAATGTTGAAGAATTTTCATACCTTGAAATGCTTAGTTTTTGGAGATCTCTGCTCTTCATACTGTCTTCCTGAGGTGGATCCTGTCATTTATTTAAAAAAATTTTTAAAAAGTTATAATTATTATTCTGTTTATTCTCAGTTTGGTATTACCAAAGATTCAAATTTTACAGAATATACTTATAATTGAATAGCATAAAACTAATTTCATATCCAATTTTAATAAAATATCACCAAGCTATCACAAATATTTCTAAATTACTTTAAATTATTTAGAGAATATTTTAATTTTCTTTAGAAAATTAATAAATAAAATTTCTCCCATGTAAAAGTACTTGGGAGTCCTACAAATGTATCTTTGAACATACCAATCTGAAGTCTATATTCAAAAATAGTACAACACATTATCACACTCTGTTTATTCAAGGAAAATGTGAATGAACTTCATGAGAAATTTAAAGTATTGAGTATTTCATCTTTTTGTATTATTATAAAAAAGTCCTCAAAATATTTTTCCAGCTACTGTCTAACAAAAAGAGTGATCTAACATTCAAAGATTATTTACAGCCAGTTATCAGTTTGCAATGTTCTGAAGGTAATAATGGATTTGTTTTCTAACTCATGCAGTATGGGAGTTTCAGGGAACCCATGGCTACAAATTCTTGGGAAATAATATTGAAATTATACAGAATTTGTATATTATAGGACTTCTCAGAACCTTTAATTCACAAAAGCACAGTCTGAACCTTCCTATATGGGCTATTTTTAGGAACCTCAGATGTCTACTATAAAACCCCCAATTTTATTGGCCCAAAGTTCCTTATACTTCTTCAGCTACAGAGCTTGCATTTCTTAATAGGATCAACTGTTCTGGGAGATAAAGAAAATCTAAAAGTGGAATCACCTCTGCAACCTTGACCTCAATAGCACCAAACACTAATCAAGAGAGTATATTATAAAACAAAAATGAAAACCTTAGCTGGGTACAGTGGCACACACCTGTAATCCCAGCGATTCACTGAGGCTGAGGCAGGAGGACTGTGAGTTCAAAGTCAGCCTTAGAAACTTAGTGAGGCCCTAAAGCAACTCAGTGAGACCTTGCCTCTAAAAAAAGGTATAAAAAAGGGATGGCATATATATACAATGGAATTTTACTCAGCATTAAAAGAGAATAAAATCATGGCATTTGCAGGCAAATGGATGGCCTTGGAGAAGATAATGCTAAGCAAGTTAGCCAATCCCAAAGAAAACAAATGTGTTTTCCCCATATAAGGAGGCTGACTCATAGTGGGGTAGGGAGGAGGAGAATGGGAGGATTACATGAATTCTAGATAGGGAAAGGGGTGGGAGGGAAAGGGAGAAGGCAGGGAATTAACAAGGGCAGTGGAATATGATGGACATCATTATCCAAAGTACATGTATGAAGACTCGAATTGGGTGTCAACATACTTTATATATAAACAGATAAATTGTAGTATATATGTGTAATAAGAATTGCAATACAAAAAAGTACATGTATAAAAGCATAAATTGGCATGAACATACTCTATATACAAAGACATGAAAAATTGTACTCTATATGTGTAATAAGAACTGTAATGCATTCCGCTGTCATGTATTTAAAAAAAATAAAATCAATAAAACTTAAAAAAAAAAAACAAAAAAAAACAACAGATGAGGATGTGGCTTAGTAGTTAAGCACCCTGGGTTCAATACCTGGTACTAAAGAAAAGAAAACCCTAATATGTCCAAGTAGGATGCTTCTACACATTCCAGAAGGTATTATAAAATTCATTTAATAGAAAGGAAAGTACCATCTTAATGTTTGTATATTTGGCTGTAATAAGTATAAACAAGTTTATTAGAGTGAACATAAATTTCTTTCTTGGATTGTTCTAAGATTCCCACATCCAAGAGGATTTTAATCAGCAACACCTCTGAAATAAATTTAAAAGGGCATCAAGATTTCACAACATCAAGATTTCGATTTGGAACCTTTGATATTGTTATTTCCATTTTTTTTATCCTCAGTTCATTTCTTTATGGTAATTATGAACATTTTCACTTCATAGCCTCTATCCACCACTTAATAAATAAATGCTAGAGTGGGTACAATGCTTTAAATCTTTTCCCCCTCCTTTATCTCACCTTCAACCCTTAAAAGTTTGTTGTCTCTAATTTCATCATTAAAAAAAAAACGTTTCTTCCACTATAAATATCTGTTTTTCTGTGACCAGTTTGCTTATAATAGATCTAAACTAAAACAAATTCACTCCCCAGCACCATCTAGTGGAAAAGAATAACTACTAGTAACCAAACTATGCCCTAGCCCCTCAAACAGAGACCTAAGAGCACTGCCCCTCTGGATTACCCTCATTAAGTCTTATGGATAAGATTTGCTATTCAATACACTAAGTTCTGGGCACTATGCTAACTGCTTTATACATAATAATTTAACTTTCATGAAAAAAATAGGTACTTAACATCTAGAGAAAATAAATTCCCTAATAAGTTAAATGAAATTCCTAATTTTACAGTTAATAAGCAGCACAATTATGAGCCAGACTTCTAAGATTCTGTAGCACAGCTTCCTACTCTACAATAAAATATTCACCATGTATAATAGTTATTGTTGTGATTTAGATGTGGTATCCCCCCCAAAGCAAACAATGTGAGACAATGCAGGAAGATGTAGAGGTGAAATGATTGGGTTGTTACAGCCTTAATTCTATCAGTGAATTAATTCCTGGATAGGGAATTAATTTAATGGTAACTGAAAGCAGGTAGGATGTGGCTGAAGGAGGTGGATCATTGGAGCTGTGCCTCTGGGTTTATATTTTGTCCTGGTGAGGGGAACTCTCTCTCTGCTTCTTGGTGGCCATGTCCTGACCTGCTTTCCTTCATCACACCCTTCTGCCATGATGTTCTGCCTAAGCTTGGGCTCTCCTGGCCACCTATGGACTAAGACCTCTCAAACCATAAGGCCCAAGATAAACTTTTCCTCCTCTAATTGTTGTTATTAGGTCTTTTTGGTCACAGTAACAAAAAGCTGACCAAAACACATCAAACAATATCAAGCAGAATATATACACTAACAATTAGAATTCAGAGCTTCAAAGTGTAAATTTTGTAAGGAAAAGATGCTGGAAGCTTTTGAAGAAACAATAGTGTGTGGCCGGGAAAATCAACTTCCAATGTCAAGTAGGAAACAAAACCATTGGCTTTTTATTGGCTCTAAAAGGAGTTGACAGTAATTTTTATGTTTCCCCTTTACCAGAGCTGGGGACGCCAAAGTAAGTTCTTATTGCTTGGCTCAGAGGAATTCTTCTGGTTAAAGCCAAGGCAGAATACTGTGTTATTCTTATCCTGGCTCATTCTTATCTAGTGGGCTGCCCCTGATAAAGACTACATTATAGAAGAGAGAAGTGTTAGCTCCATCTATGAACACTTGGGATTCAAGGGCAGAATCCTGGTTGGCAGTCAGAAGTACAGGAGGTAGTTCCTCTTTTAGATAGCAAGATCCCAGAAGAACATGGAATAGCAGACATACTTCCTCAATAGTACTGGAATGCTCTGGTGGTCAAAATGGTTGAGTTAAAAATTATTTAACTGATTACATCTAGTGTGAAATACATGAATATGTGAAATTATTATTTGTTTCAGGCTTTAACTAAGCTTTTCAATTTCTTTCAATAACTATTTCATATTTTGCATGTGATACAGTACTCTCATGCTCCCTTATTTCTTTATCACTTTCTTTCATTCTGAGTGTTATATCCACCTGAAAACATATGGCCATACTTATTAGAGCTTAATATATATTAATAGTAAACACACTCCTGGGAAGGACCTGAGAATCAGCTTATGTTTTAGTGGATGACATTAGGCTAACCACAGTATAGCAGCTTGGCAGGTTTGGTTCTTTTCCAGCACTTGAATTCTCAACTATTTGCTAATAGTTAAATGTTGCCCTTAAAAGTATTATTCTTCTAGAAAGAAGCAGACTACAGTTTTCTTTGTTGGTGGTAGGTTTTTGAAAGAATTTTAAAAATCAAGTTGTCTTTGCAATGTTTAAATCAAATTAATAAGTTAAATAAAATGGGAAACTTAAAATGTTAGTTTTCTTTAAACTTTATAGGAAAAAAAAACAAGAAAACTGAAGGAAAGGGAGTTTGAAAAAATAGTTACAATCAATAACTTTACAAGCTTTTTAAAAATAAGTCTTCAAAAACTGAATTACAAAATTTTAAGGTCAGGCTAAAAAGTACACAATGTATCCAATATTAGCAGAAATGATTAAAGGAGAAGATAACATGAACTTTTCAAGGAATGAATATTAGTAATTACAATTAATAGTAAATCTATAGTTTAATACTTTGTGATAAATCCTACATAGAATGCACAAAGAATACTTAATTTCCCAATTAATAATTTTGTAGTACCATTTGTTTGGCTTTTTGCAGCTCAATTTTAAGATCATTACATTCTTTCCTCATCAGTTCCAACTCTTGTTCCAAACCATGGATCTTCAGGTCACAGCTCAACTTTTCCACCTCCCAGTTTGATGAAGGTGGATTTAAATTCCTCATCACTACAAAAAGGATGAATAATATAAAAACTGTTATCTTTGCCTTTTACATTGACTTCAATTCTAAAAATGTTGTGCTGATTAAATATAGATAACAAAAATACAAAACATGTACAACCATAGTTTTGTTTTAAAAGAAATAGCAATTACTTCCAAATATCTATGTTAAAGAGTAAGAAAGCTAATGTTCTTGTTTTAGAATGTAATAACCACTCCATCTCTGATTCTGTTATTTAAGTCAAAGTATAAATTTGTCAGTACAGAATTTTAAGATACCATACCCACAAACAAATGCTAAATCAGCATATCAGTAATCTGTTTTGCATAAGCCAATGTTAAGACAGTGACAAAAATAATAAACTAAGGTTCAGCTAATCACTTCATCTAGTCTTCTCAGAAAGAATAAAGTTTGACCAACAAATCCAGGACATAGTGTCAAAACAATTTTATTCATAAACATTATACTACAGAAACTTAAAGCTGTACACTGTTTTATCTTTGACTTAGTACTTTTAGCCTTTCTATCTACAAAAAAGCCCAACCAATTACCATAAGAGATCTCATATATATTTTGTATTCAAAGATCTCTCAGAAGCCTATTCTTATTCTTCAGTTTATCTCATGAGAATGTTCATAGGAACAGACTACAATCCGCAACCCCAGATCTAACTTCCCACACCAACATCTCATTTGTGGCTTTTAAAAACCTTCAGGAAAAACAAACAAACAAACAAAAAACTGAAACTCTTCCATGACTACATGTCTAGGCAATATGTTCTGTAAGACGGATAAGACTGGACCTGGAAGTTTTGATGAGGATGGAGTTTTAAACTCCTTTCCTATTCCATCACAAACTAATACTAGATAAAAATTAACAAATTTTCTCTAAAAAGGTATAATTTCTAACTGAAGTTAAGAGGAGTCAATATTGAGTGAAAGCAAAACAGAAAAACATAAGCCTAAAAATAATAGTACTAACACACATATAGAAAAATGATTCTGTTAGAATATTTATAATAATTGGCATACCCTGCTGAGTTTCCACCTCTGTTCTTAGCTGGAGGAGTTCTACTTCTTTAGATTGTAGCTGCTCATTCAATACTTTCAAAGATTCAGAGTTGTCTTTATTCTAGTTAAGTAGGGAAAATGCCAAATTACATTCAATAAAATCTATAAGTTGGTAGTATATGCTAATTTTCAGGTAGATGTTGAAAAAACTCATTCTAGGCCTTTAAAGGCAAGATGGGAAAATGAACTCAGTTTCTTACTAATTTGCTGTATCTAACATATGACATTGTAAATATAATGACTCCCTTCCATGTCATGATTTTTCAAAATAAGTTAGTGGCATTATATGTATTTAAGTCCTACATATCATTATGTATTAAGTACTTATTTTTGTTTGTAAGTTACAAATATAATTATTAATCATTTCCACTTTGCCTTAAGCATGTATATTTTTAATTAATAAATGTAAATATATAAGCTCATTTAAAATTTTAAACCTTATGAAGGAGAAAACTCATTTGCAACATACAGATAAATTATTTCAAAACAACTTACCATCTTGTCCAATTTGCTCTTCAAATTATCTCTATCAATGCAAACTTCTCTATATGCATGGTAGGCCTTATTTACTTGTTCTCGTCCCACAGAACTTGTTTCTTCATCTAATCGAGCTCCTACAAGCTAATGGTATAAAATCAAAAAAGGAAGTTATAAGAGGATATTTTATAGGAAAAAAAAAAAAGTCAGTCAGTCTTCTGATGGCACCATACTACTTCAGTGCAGGGATAGAGCCTAGCCTATAAGTGAATATTGTTCTTCCATATAATTAATCTTTACTGATTAAGAAAGCAAAACAGGGCTGGGGTTGTGGCTCAGCAGTAGAGTGCTCACCTAGCAAGTGCGAGGCCCTGGGTTTGATCCTCAGCACCACATAAAAATAAATAAAATAAAGGTATTGTGTACAATTAAAAAATAAAATATGTTAAAAAAAGAAAGCAAAACAATATAGAATACTTTTAAAAAGCCTTCTATGCTTTTACATAACTAGCATTTTATCCTTTATAGTATCTGATTAAACCATCATACTACAATGGAGTATACTATTCTTTTGAAGTACTTAGTTATAGCATCTAATTTCCACTATCAGAAAAAAATAGTGAATTAAGTCATACTTGACATTTTAATAAATAAATGTGTTAGTTCATTAAATCCCTTATTATTCCAGAATTGGAATTAATAAGCTTACTGGTCACAAAGTACAGAATAATTTCCAAAGGTAACTATACATAAAATCCCACTTTTGTACTTAATTTTAAAATGAATACAGCTATGAGCTCCAAAAAGTTTCCTTTTCTCAGTTTATCCCAGTGTATTACTAATTTACTTAATTACTGTAAAATTCATGTGAATATAATGAAATTATCATCATTTTTATAACTGACTCCCCTCACTTTACTTTCCTCTACATGTAGTGAACTCTACCACACTTCATCCTCAAGTTTTTAAAATATAGGATAATTCATTTCTTTGGCTTTTGAGAACTCATTTTCTTTACCCTTTATGGAAGCTGCTATTTACAAGACAAAATACAAATCTGAGATGAAGAAACACAACTAAGAAGTCAAAACTTTAAAACTCAAAAATAAATGGATGATTGAGGAAGATTTTCCAACACTGAAAATAATAGTAAGTCTGGTGACATAGTAAATCAGCTACCTTACTTCATAACATATGGAAGCGTCAGCTTTCTAAATGAAAAAGTAAATGACATTAATTTATCAGTTAAAATAATTATTTCTATTATGTATGTGAAAGAATAAATGAGAATGTGGAGGTAAGATTTCAGTTCTGGTGAAGACCTTACTAAACATTAAAACAAAGTTCCATTGCTTTCTCCTTTGAAACTTAATTTTCTTCTTTGGTATGTTATTTATTTTTGCACAGATTTCAAATTTCTGAGTAAGATACATAGAGTTATGAAGGTAAGGCAATCTGAAAAAAAAGAAAAAAAAATACTAGGAATATAACTCCTCCAATTTGTTAAAACCTAATCTACAAACATTTGGCAAGCACATATTATATGAAAAACAGTATACACTTAATGCCAGGGTTTGAGATTTGCAGAGATATCCTTAGAAATTTAGCACAATCATGGAATATAAGACAGAAAATATCTGAAATTTAAAATATATTTTGAATTATTTTTCACATAATAAATCATAATGAAGATAGAAGAAATTACCTTTTCTTCCAAAAACCTTATTCTTTTCTTTAAGAAAGAGTTCTCTTTCTCTGAATCTTTAAGTCGTTTTTTGATGTCTTCATATGCAGTGACAAGGGCAAAATGTGAAGCAACAGACTCATCTCCTGAATATATTGATACAGGAGTCAATGTATCTCTTCTATGGGCTTTTTCATGATTCAGGATGCAGATATCATCTTCTACTAGTGCATCCATGACAGCTATTTAAAAGAAAAAAAGAAACATGAAATACAAATATCTTACTGAATAAATGAGCAGAAAAAAGATATATTCAAAATAATGTGAATACTGGGTCAATGTTTAAAAAATCCTATTTTCTTTTAGAGGCAATGAAGCATAAGAGTTTATGTGAAGGGGTGCACACACCTGCAATTCCAGTAACTCAGGAGTTGAGGCAGGAGGATCACAAGTTCAAGGTTAGCCAGGGTAAAATCTCAAAATAAAAATTTGGGGCTAGGGTTGTGGCTTGGCAGTAGAGTGCTTGCCTTGCATGTGTGAGGCTCTGGGTTCAATTCTCAGCACCAAATAAAAACAAATAAACAAAGGTATTGTATCCATTTACAACTAAAAAAGTTATATTAAAAAAATAATCAGTGGGGCTGGAAATGTATCTCAGTGGTACAGCATTCTGGATGCAGTCCTAAGAAAACATGGATTGTCAAGGGGTTGGGGTAGAAGCATAACCATAAAGCAATTAAAACCATAATCTATTATCAGGAAGCTCTATAAAAATCTGCGAAATACCAATTTCACCAAAGAATCAGAATTTTTAAACACTTTATGCCCATATATTTTTTCCTCATTAACATTTACACTTTCAGATCTACAGTAGCAAGATTTTATAGTTTATAAAACTGTCAATTTTCAAAAATTCTTCAAAGTCATGACATAATATTATAGAAATTTTAATACCTTCTCTACTATATTCTTTCCACACTAGTAATGTTTGTCATATGTTCACAATAGAAGACAAATTAACATTTGAGTGTCTACTGTCCTAGTACCACACACTACATTCTTTCAATATTATCTCATTTAATCATATAAACATTCTGTCAAGTAGGGATTATCTAAATAGGTAGGGATTATTGCCTAAAGCTAGTGAAACTTTAGCTCTATGAGGGCAGACGTTATGTCTATGTTGTTCATCACTATGTCTCCAACTCATCAGCGTGCATGAAGTATTCAACACTGATCATTACATGAGTAGATAAAATAGGATTCAAATCAAACTCTGATTCCAAAACCTAAAAGCAGCAGCCAGCTACTTTCTTTACTTACTGAATATATATACTTGCTTTGTGTATCTGCTTTTGCCATTAAGTTCGATATTACCTTCTCATCCAAGAGTTATGTACCTGCAAAAATGCTACGGAAGAACTTGTAGATGAAACCTTTTAAGACCTCTGGGAAAAAAAGAGTAAAAAGGATTGTAGGTCATGTTAGAAAATCTAAAAGAATTCTTCCAAATATTTTTTACTTTAAAATAAAACACTAAATACAGCATTCTAAATAAGAATACCAATGGAATTTCACATAGATTAGTAACTAATGATTGCTAAAAAAAAAAAAAAGTTTTTTTTTTTTTTACTATTCCTTGCTTGGAATAAAATTTGATTACTAATATTAGACTTTAAGATCATTATAGATCAAAAAATTAAAGTAGAAGGGTATTAAGTAATTTTTCCAAAGTAAAATAGTAGAGAGTTTAGATATAAACAAAGTCAACCACAAAATTCATCTTTCACTATGCCTGCTTTTCCTCGGGAACTCCCTTCCCCATGTCAACTAATGCCTATAGTTTGTTTTGCTTTATCTCAGACAATGTGAATAATTAACAAAAGGCTTTGTGTTTTTCTGAGTCTGGTTCTACTATCATTATATTTCTGCTTTTCTAATTTTATAACTGAAACTTTCTGGTTGCTCTCAACTGAAATCAAATTTTGGAGTATCTAAACAATCTGTGTCTTTGTAGAATCACAGAAAATGTAGGCAAAAATAAATGTGTACACTATGTGTTTTGAATAGGTAAAACCTACAATCCAGTCAATCCACATCAATTCCAATTTAAAATTTTCTAAACATATGAGCAATTTCTATTAAGTTAGAATTTTTTCCCAGGTTATCAATAAAGTTCAAAAACAAGTATGGACTACGCTATTAGCAGTATCCAACAAGTGTCAAGATTCTTATTATAAATAACTACTGCAAGCTACATTCTTTGCTAGTAATAGTTTTAAGATTTCCTCCTCTAAACTAGTTTACTTCCCCTAAATTCAACTATTTCAAGTTACTTAACTTGTTCACTTGTGTAATCTGTATTCATTTTTATCATGAAATGATCATGATGAAAGAAAAAAAGCAAGAAAACTCAGTGTGGGAGACAGCTGCCCAGAAAAATAATTATTATACCTAAAGGTAGGTAATATATTTGAAACAATTCAGAATGATGCAAACTGCAGATAGGGAGGAGTGACTTTCAAAGAAGATACCATAACAGATCAAATGACTGTGTAGTTATCTTTATTGTACTTATTGTTCTTAAACCTTTACATTCTGCTTTCTTCTAGCAGGAGGAACAAGTTCAAAAATCTGGAAAAGTATGGGGGAGGTTGAAAAGCATAATGATAGATGAGATTAGAAACATTGGATGAAGATAAATGGAGATGATCCTTTATGATAGACAGACATATATTTTGGTCTTTATTCTGCAGAATTTTTAAAAAGATAGAAGTGGACATGGTTAAAATATAAAAATATTTACACATATTCATTAAAAACATTCATGACTGCTTTGGTTTAGATGAGTATCACTCAAAGGTCCACTCCCCAAGGCTGCTGGTACTGGTAGTTAAGTACTATAGACTTTTAAGAGAGAAGACTTTATGGGAGATTTGTAAGTTATTGGGGGCATGCCTTCAGAGGTGACTTCAAGACACTGATCCAGTCTTCTCTGCTCCCACTTCTTGGCTTGTGATATGGGTAGTTTGTGCTTATATGTGTCCTTGCCAAGATGTGCCATCCTTGCCAGATGCCCAAAGCTTGGAAGTGCAATTGAACCTCCCAAACTGAGCAAAATAAACCTTTTCTTAATAAGTAGCACATTCTCAGGCACTTCACTTAGTAATACAAAGCTGATTCATACAACTCACTAAATGAACTACTTAGTATTGGCTTTTTACAAATATTTGCCCCATTTAATTTTCAGGACCATCCTAATTAGGACTACAGATGAGAAAACTGGGAACAAGAAAGGTTATGAAGGTTAGCCAGAATAAGACAATTAGTATGCAGCAGAGGTACTTAGATTTCAGAATGTGAGCTACCAATATTTTCCCCTCTCCAATGAATCTATTGCAAACCTTCATCAAGAACTATAAAACAAGGAACTCGCTAGAAAGTTCATAAGCACTTTAGATGGAAGGTAGGGGGTGTGTATTGAGACAATAATAACACATTTTATACAATGATAGCTTGTCACTTTTAGGTAAAATGAGTAGTCAGACTTGTTCATTCTGTTATCTTTTTAATTAATAAATTATCAAAAAATTGCACACTGTGTGGTCTAAATAAAAGAAAACTATTTGCATATAAAAGATTTTTCAAGTTTTATATCATTCTATGTATTGATTCTATAAATATGATTTGGAAAATAGTATAAAAATTGTTTATCTATACTAAAAATTATATGAGAACTAGTCATATGAACAAGAGAAAATCCACTAGCACTACATACATCAAGTTTTATTGTTTTAAGCAGTTAGTATTTAAATTCACTGTAAAATGAGAATCAGAATTTTAATTTCTATTACAAAATAAATATAAAATCAAATGCATCAGAATGTAAATATATACTCTATTATTCTGAACAAACTGGACCTCTGGAGATTAAAAGCCATAGTGTCCAGGAAAATAAGATCTTAAAAAGAAACCAATTAATATGAAGCAAATATCCCATTATATTTATTATTACAATGAAAAGAAATCTGAGGGCAAAGTAAAAGTAGAATATTTGTAGCCTTCAGTTTTATTATTTATACAAGCCTCCTTTATCCTTCCTTAACCTTATTTCTACAGAGGGAACCACAGTAGTTTGCCTCAATGCAAAGGCTCAGTTTTATATATTTTTGCTGTGTTACAATGTTTCTTAATAGATATACAAATAAGCAGGCCCATAAATTTGACTTTTTGGATAAGTGGTAAAAACCTAATTTCTTATCACTACACTTAAATAGATCAAGTTAGCTTTAACATTTTGAAAAATTTACCTAAATCTGATTTTATTTATCATAACTTAAGTTTTCTTAAAATAGCAAATGTTTGTTTCAATTACTCATATTTTAAAAATAAATGCCAGGAGTAGAATATTGCCAGTGAAAAATTAGAATTACTGGGCTAGGGGTAGAATGCCCAGTGTTTAGACAGCCAGCACCATCCCTGTCCTCCCACCAAAAAGAGCGAGAACACACTATCAAAAAAGACAATATTTTCAGTAGTCCATCAGGAATTAGTAAATTAACTTTTAAAACTTAACAAATGTCAAAACATTGCCCCAGTACAAGTAGATTTCTCTCAATCATGAAAATCAATAATAAATTATTCCAGAGACATCCCGCAAAGAAATTTGGCTTTTTCAAGGACATTCCAAGAAGCTGGACATGACGTAGGGAAGGATTAGAGAAAGTGAGGTATGGAAGGGACCACTGCCTTAGAATTACTTGGAGTTCTGTGCAACAATATTGATTACTTGGCTCCAATAAAGATCTATGTAAATTAGAATATATGAGTAGAAATATCAAACTGCACTTCAATAAGCACCCCAGGCAATTTTAAGTTCCATATTAATGTAAAAACTACTCATCTAGATTCAGTAAGAGTTAACAAATCACTATATGATTCATAGAATTCCAATTATAACTATTATTCTTGAACATCTGTAGGCAAGGGTAGATCTATGGTACCAACTGGTAAACACCACCTAAATCTTTCATGAAGATTTAAGGATTGAGGTGAAAGATGACATTTATTGATGAGAACAATAAAATTTCAGGAATGATAATGGAGAAAAGAGGGCGCTATTTATCAGATAAGGTGGGCAGAAAAGGATACTATCTGAGGCTAATGGAAAGACACCTGGGGAAAAGGATCAAACATTATTAATTAGTATTTTTTAAAAGATGTTCAATTTCAGTGTTCACTATAATTGACACAGAGAGGAGTCTCTCTTCTTCAAATTACATATACTGGGGTTTGGTAGACTACAAAACATTGAAATATCTTCTGACACTACACTGGTCTTTTTTCTGACAATAAATAAGATTATCCTGCCATTTTTCAATATTGTTATGTTTACTATTTTACTGATCACTTGCTATATGTCAAGTACTAATGCTTTTATATGCATTTTCCTACTTCTTAGGTAGGTACTATTATCCTATTTATATAAAGTTTTATCTGTAGTTACTCAACAGATCAGTGGCAAAGCTGGGATGTGAATTCACATAAACTGTCTCCTAAATTTATGCCCTTGATGCAACATTCTGAATAGAACAAAAAATTAATTCTGATTTTCTTAATAAGATTCTGGATAAATCAGAACTCTGGTAGAAAGAACAGTGATCTAGGACTCAGAAAGCCAGGTTCTATTCTAAGATCTGCCACCTGGACTATAGATTAGTTCACTTTACCTCTCTGGATCTAAATTTTCCCATCTATAAATGACAGTTGGACTATCTCACTAAGATGTGACTTTACTAAACTATGAAGGCAAAATTTTAATCCAAATACAGAATAGCAACCTGAACAGATAGAAGAAATTTCACATTTGTACCAGAAACTGAGTAACAGGTCAAATATACACATTACCTCAAGTGTACACTAAACTTGGTCAGAAAGGTATCATTATCTCAGTGAGGAAACTGAGGCTCAGATGTGAGGTAAATGTGCCCATAATCACATCAGCAATAAGTAACTGGGGTTTGAATCAAAATTACACAGTAGGCTTTTTCCTCTATTCCGTATTGTTCCCTGTAGTGAATCTTGTTTAGAATTTCCATCACCTTTCTATCTCTTGAGATGTTAGGATATTCTTGAGCCCATTTCATACAATTAGTTAAGATACTATGGCACAAGGATTAAGTTTTAAGGAGGCAGAGAGACCAACACTTACTGCTCTTTGTCCATAGTAATGAAACAATTAGGGGCAGGGATTCCCAGTTTATAAAAAAGGGATTATTAAGTGCCTTTTTTCAAGATACGATCTGATCTCTTAATCTAGGTACCTTAGTAATCAAATTTAATCTACTATTCAATAAGTGCCCTAAAAAATAAAATCAGCATCAAATACACAATATGAAAACTCCAGTTTCATTTTTATGGTCCTCACTGACTCACTAACTGCCTTAATTCAGAAATTTAGTTTGTGTGGCCAGGGAATCCTAAGACTGTTTCAGGGATAGCAAAATGTAAACAGCAGTCTACTTCTTTTCATTCCTTTAAGTAATTTATAATGCATTAATAAATGACACTGGTGTTACTAATAAATATTTCCTAACAATGATAAGAATATTAGCGCCATAAAACAGTTGCATTGATTCCACTACGTCATGGATTATAAAAAAGGTATCACATTACTTTACTTAATAATTATAATAATGTTCTGTGTTGTTAACTTTTTGTTTGTTTGTTTGTTTGTTTGTTTGTTTTGTACAGGGGATTGAACCCAGAGGGGCTTAACCACTGAGCAACATCCCCAGCCCTTTTTTATATTTTTTCTTTTTTTAAAGGGGGAAAAACATGAACAATTTAATAGAACAATGGGCACCTAGAAGAACAGGAAGTATTAAATAAAAAATTATTATATACTTATTAAATTTTCTTTAGAGACAGGGTCTTGCAGAATTGCTCAGGATGGTGCTAAATTGGTGAGGCTTGCTCTAAACCCGCAGATTCTCCTGTCTCAGCCTCTGAGCCGCAGGGATTACAGGTGTGCGCTGGTTAACTAATATTAATCAGATAGTTATGGTACACCAAGTAGTATGCTTCACCTTTTAGGGCAACTATCTCATTTATTCTTCATAAGAATTCATCAAACTTACATAAAACCTCTGAGGTTGGCTATAATATCCCCATTTCACAGAAGGAGTAAATGAGACATGAAGAGGGATAGCTGACTCCAAGACCAACATAACTCTTATAAACTATGTTTTGTTGTCCTAGAAAGTAAGCATTACCCTCATTTTAAAGATAGGGAAAAGGAGAAGAAAGACCTCTTTCCAAGTGTCAAATGAATCAATGGAAAATTCAGTGCTTAGATTCTGGAGTTCCAATCTAATCCACTACCATTTTCCATTACATTACATTGTCTCTTTAATATTAAAATTTTATATCGGCATAAAATTTACATTTACAAACAATAATGCATTAAAATTTCATAATCATCCTGTGAATAATCTACCACTTCCAATTTACAGAAAAAAAAATATTGATTATCAGACTGGGCAAATTAGAGCGTTTAAAAAGAAGTGGAATTTAAGTTATGCCCTAAGATATGGTTCAATCCATTTTAAAATTCTAATAATAAAAAAGAAAGTGTCTTCTATGTTTAAGAAGCAAGGTCAATTTCAACCCTGATACATCAGTGTCTTCAATCACCTTACAGTATTTCCAATACGTCGGAGGAGGCCATTTGTTTTGATCTACCTGTATTACAATTTTCGTGGTTATTTTATTTCACTTTCAATTATTCGAGCTCCTTGTGTGTGGGAGATTGGGTGTTAGCCTACCTTGCAACCGAAATAATCCAAAACGTTACTGGAATCGACAGGTTAGATACCGAAGAAATGGCGAATACCTACAGCTTGCCAGCCCTCGACAAGGTGCAGAGGGCAGATGTTTACTGCTCGGACGCCCAGGTAGTACCGCCCTAGTTACACGTCCCTCTTTCCTTTCCGATATAAATGCCATCTCAGTGAATGAAATAAAACTGGAAAAAGCCCCAGTCAATCAGAACATAGAAGCAAATGAGCAATAGGTGAAAAGTAAAGTGAAGGACAAGAAGGGGCCTGGGACAGCTAAGGCGCGGGGATGTCTCGGGCCAGGGAAGCCTGGGGTGGGCAGCTCCCCAAGGGAGGGGGCGTGGGAGAGGGTGAGGGAAAAATGACGTGTGGCTTAGACCCACTACAGCACGGAGGTTGGTCCCAGCACTGCCGGCACGCTAGCTCCCGCCCAGCCCAAACGATTCACTCACCCTGAACCCTGGCTACGTGGGGCCGCCCCTGGGGCCGCCGAGTTTCGATTCCCCAGTGTATGGAAACCGCCTGAAAACAACCCGGGTCGCCAGGGGTCACCAAGGGCTTCCGGTTTCCTCGAAGACACCGCTGCTTCCCCAGAGAAGGTGGCGGCTCCAGGTGCGCCGCAAAGGGATTCCCATTTCTTCTGCCTCAGCGGAGCTCGCGACGCAGCCCTGCCCTTGGGCAGGAGCCCTGGGGGTTCTGGAAGGAGGGGCGAGCCGAGGCAGGAGGGGCCCGGCGGCCACTGGAGCAGGCCCGTTACCCAGCAACGCGCGCGCGCGCGCGCGAGACCCAGGCCCGTCGGCGCCGGCTGGCGTCGTCGGGACTTGCGCGCGCTAGTAGCCGCGTCACGCGCCGCAGGGGCAAGCCTTGTCGAGGGCGGGTTGAAAAGGTGGAAGAGCGCCTCAGAGCCGGAAAAGCGGCTGTCGCCTTACCGGGGCTCCACGTTAGGGCCGCGCAAGGAAACCGGAAGTCAGACCCGCGGGAGCTGGGAGGGTGTTCGCTGAGCCCGGCTGGAGGAGGGGCCGGGGAGCTCAGCGTACTACGTGTCCCGTGAGCCTCCGCGACGGGACACGGCTGGGCCGGGGCGACGCGAGGAGGCGGAGTGGAACTGGGTAAGAGCGTTGCTCGCCGCCTCGGCGGTTGGGCCGAAAGCCGTCTTCGGGGGCGCCCTCTAGCGCGTCTTTTTTTCTTCGCGTCCACCCGGTATCCCAGCGTGGGGTGCGAGTCGGCTCAGCCTAATAACGCCTTAGGGGTTGTCGCTGTCGCCGCTGTGTGGCCGGGACCGGGACGCTCGCTGGGTTATCTGGAAGGGCGCCGTTTTAATCCCCGCGGCCTGTTTTCTGGGCGCGTTACGGACTCTCCGGCCATCGTTGGAAGCACTTAGTGGGCGAATACCTCAGGGTCGCACAGTTATTCACTAAAGAACTCGGGTTCCAGCACACTGCTCAGCAGGTGGGATAGACAGCGCCATGATCTCGGCCGCTCCCCTAGAACTGTCAGCGCCCTGGGTTCTTTCAGCCGAGAAGACAGTCTTGAGCTGAGGTGTCACAGTCTATGGGGTTCTCATAACGAACCCCCGAAGCTCTAGATCATTTCAGGCTAAGCAGGCAAACGAATGAGCAGTAATTATAGGAAATTTATCCTCGGTAACCGCCAATTAGTATCACAGACGCCCCTGGCCACCCTCTCAAGTAGAGTTTTGTCAACTGGAGTCTCTCATCTGTCGTCACTGTTGTGGTAGAAGGTCTTTCTGCATCACGTAATAAATTAGCCCAACTGTAAGCTCAAGAGAATGGGTTCAATACGAGAGAATTTATTTGAAGATACGTTTTCATAGTTGTTAAGCGTGTCTTAAAATTTAAATTGAAAAGTCACAGCTGTTGCCAATAAAGGCCACAACTTTGTTACATGGTAGTCGAGAAAATATTTTAGAATTTATATTAATGTAATGTGGAAGGAGATCCATTCGCCTCAGTATCTTGGAATGGAAGGTGGAAGAGAGCAGTGTTTTTAAGCAAGAATCTGTCCTCGGCGTATTTTGATTGTTTCTGTGATGCACTTTCTGATTTTTTTTTTTTTAACTAAAAAGCAAACCATCAAACACTTTGTTTTGGCCAGTAGAGTTTTGATAAATGTTAACAAAAGCAGTTGAGACACCCGAAGTCATCAAATAAAGCGATAATCTAACTTTTAATTTGAAGATGTAGAAATGTTTTCTATTTTTAAACATGATTTAGAAAAATTAGTTGTTGAAAAAGCAAGGAAATTATTTTTTTCCCCCCTCTCACGGTAAGTAAAGAGAAGTGACACAGCTCAATATTTTAAATTCTGGTGAGAGGGTCTATTTTTTTTTTTAAATATACACCTCCTGAATGTAACTATTTAAAAGCTGGACTTTGTTAACAAAATTATTTTCATGATTGCAGTGCATGTTTGTGTTTACTATTTGTCAAGTTAAAACTTGTTAGTTTTTCCTGTGAGGCCATTGTGCTGCTGCTAGGTTATGACAAAATATAATCCAAATCTTTATTGCATTTAGCCAGAAATGGTCACCTTCCCCTAACTCCTAATCTTCTGCTTTAATTAACTTTGGTGAATAAAATAAATCATTAGAAAAAACTTGTCTCACAGTTCGCTTATAATCATGTATTTGTATTACAATCTTACTGCAAAGAAAAAAAATCCTCCAATAAGTTGATTAAAAGATAGTTTTCATAGGAGCATTTCATAGGAAAACAGAGTGGTTAAATCATCATTGTTAAATTAGATACCAGATAGAAAAGAATTTGCATGTCAGTAGTTTCTTAACTGATAGCCAACTGGTTAGGTGAGTGGCTGGTTTTCCTAAGGCTTAATTCCATTGATTTTTTTTTTTTTGAAATTGCTTAGGCATTGTTGCTAAGGAATGCTCATTTTTTCCCAAGAGGGAGTTGTTAACTGCATCCTCCAACAAATTCTCTCTCTGACTAGATTTGGACAGTTTTTTTGTATTTTATATCATCATTACATTTCCTCTAGATACAAGTGTAATCTAAACATTTCAAAACAATTGATTGCTTTAAAAAATATATTTGTTGTAGAAGGTCGCCTCTTCTACCTTTTCCCACCTTCCCCCAACTCCTCACCAAAGTGCAGATGTTCGGAATATGATATTGACTATCTTGGTACCTTTTTTCACTGGAGTAGGTTTGGATTTCACAGTAATATCAATAAAGAATATGGGCCCTGTCACAATTTCTGACTATGGCTCAGCCTGCTTTTCTTATTTTTAGGCAATGTAATAATTTTTTAGAGTTACTTCAGATTTTATTGTTAATTGGGCAATATGTAAAAATAATATAAAAAGCTTTTTTTAAAAAATTATGAAAGTTGTGTCTGTAAGCTATGAAGAATACTGTAATAGGAAACAGTAAGAATTCCATTTTTGAGGAAAAAAATCTAAAGTGAATTTCTGCTAGTGGTTTAAATTGCATATTAATTCAATTCAATTAAAATTATACCACTCTGGGGGTCATTATTTTTCTGAGTACTATGCTCTATGGTAGATATGGTTCTTCAATGTCGGTGGAACAGATTTAAATATCAGAACTGCTAACTTGTGATAGCAGTGTCTATCTTCATATTAATACCAGCTTCAACATAATTTTATTGATGTTATTTTAAAAGCATTCTTCTTTCTTCCCCATATGTCATTTATTCAGGTTAAGGTAGAATTTTAGTGGCCAAGGTAAAGAGAATATTAAAGAATACTACCAAAAATGAAAAATGCGGTGTCTGGGCATACTTGGTATCTTCTGTCTTTCCTTCCAGCTCCCCCGGCCCACCCCATCACACGGTGTGTGTGGTTACATGTACATAAAGAGAGGGAGAGAGAAAGAAAAGGTTGTAAACTTAAAGTTACTGTCATATTGTGTTTATTACAAATGAGTGTGTATCTTAAAGCAGCAACCTTCAAATTGGGCAACACACATATCTTACCCTTAACCTTCATGTAACCTTAGCATACACGAAGGCTTTCCAGGAGATTAATGGGGGAGGGTTTAACAGCATTGATTCTAAGTTGTTAACTTCCATTTTTTTTGTCTCTGAGATTCATCTGCCCCAGAGTGTGCTAGACACCTTTCTGCTTCCTCTCATTATACCAATAAAGCAATGCCTTTCATCTGATCTAAATCTTGATATTGTTGTATAGAGAGGGAATAACTTTGTAACATTTTTTATTTGTTTTAATTGTTATACATGACTATATAATGCTTTTGTGCACTTTGGTGTCCATAGATGGGCTATAATTTCTCATTTTTCTGAGTGTACATGTTACAGAATCATAATGGTTAGGTAGTCACATTTTTACATACAGTTATAAGGTCTGTTTCATTCTAGTATCTTTCCTAAAGCCATACCCCCCCCATCACTTCCCTCTACCTAATCTAAGGTAATTCTATTATTCCCTAGTCTCCCTCCCCACCCCCCATTTTATTGTGAATTAGCACCTGCATATTAGAGAAAACATTTGGCCTTTGATTTTGTGGGATTGGCTTATCACTTAGTATGATATTCTCCAACTCCAACCATTTACTGGAAAATGCTGCCTGAATGGCTATCACGATTGCTGCTGCCTTTGGTTCTGCTGCTGCCAGCCAAAGGGAATAAGTCTTAATGACTGGGTAGTTGATTCCTTTGCAAAACTAGTTTCTTTCAGAAATATGTGAGAGGGACCAAATTGAGCTATCAGCTTATTATTAAAACTAATTTTTAATGGCACACCCCAATGTGATTTTGGCTATATAATATAGGAGTTTAAAAAATGACAAATGCTATAACCAGAAACCTTTACACTCCTAAATATTTGAAATGGAATAATATAAAATGGATTAGCCTGAACCATGTGTCTTTCTAGTAAAATGTAATATTCACTTTGGGGTATGTGACTTAATGGAGGGGATGAGGGGCAGAGGGTTCATAATCTAGTTTGCTATGACATGTATTTATAGTAAAAGTTTACTTTTGATATTTATAAAGATTATAATTTGTGATATGTTTGCTGTTTGATCTATAGTGTTCAGTAATCGAATGACAATACTAAAGAGAATTTTTAGAACCTGTTCTTGGAAATTTGAAAATTGGCCTTTTTTGGTAGGGAAATGTGATAGGGTGATCAAAGTATTTTTAAATACTAAAATGTATTACATTGGTATAAGCTTATGTGGGAACTGAGATGAAATAAATTCCAGCAGAAAAGGGATGAGAAGTTCTTAAATGTTAAAAGAGATTTTATGTACTTTTCAAAAAGATGGATGTTGGCAGAATTATTATGGTATTTTTTTCCATTTACAAAAGTTATCTGTATACTTACCTCCAGCACCTAGTCTTGTACAGGACTTATAATCTGTGCTTCATTGATAACTTTTGACTTGAAATACTTTTTTAGTTAACAGGAATTAGTTTCTGAAATATTTTTCCCAAAATAAAATATGAATATCATAATTGTATGCACAATATCTAAATGCAGTTATTTCCAGGCAGAAATATGTTGGTGAAGAAAAAGTAATGGTCCTTCAAAAGTTTGATATGAAGAATAGGGAGATGAAATATGGGAATAAACAACAGGAAAACAACAAGAGAAAATTCAATATTCACATGCAAAAGAAGGAAATTGGAGCATTATAAACAGAAATCAAATCAAAATAGCTTAACAGCTTAACCTATGTTAAATGTAAGATGAAAAACTAAAACTCAGAAACAGAGAAAAGGCTTTGTAACATTGTTCTTGGCAAAGATTTCTTGGATATAACTCCCAATATACAGGCCAACCTCCCCACCCCCCAAAAAACACCAAAAAAGCAAAAGTGAACAAGTATGACTGTTTTCAAACTAAAATGTATCCATCTAGCAAAAGAAACAATCCCAGTGAAAAGGCAACCTATAGAATAGAAGGAAATATATGGAAAACATGCATCTGATAAGAAGTTAACATACAAAATATATAAGGAATTCATACAACTCAATATCAAAACACCAAGTAACCTGATTAAAAAATGGGCAAGGGACTTGAGTTTACATTTCTCTAAAGAAGGCATTGAAATGGTCAATAATTCTATGAAAATAAGCGTAG